GAGCCAGATGACCCCAATCGATCGGTCCGAGAAATAATTGGCAAAAATTTTCGAATTCTTGGCGATTTGTTTTGAATTGATTATATATTACACGATGCAAAATGTGATTGTCTATGTTATCATTGCTCGCTACAAGTCCAAGCCCTTTTTCCATATTGTAAGCGTGAAACATATCGAATATCATCCAATTGTATTTTGCTACAGTTGCAGACTGGTCATTGTAGTTATTTGTCAAACGCATTTCGTTGTCTTTGTAATGTTTACAAGTATTGGATTTGATGTTGAAAAAATTGTCATCCTCACAATTGGCTTCGAGGTATGTCTCAAGTTCTGCGACGAAAAAGTCATGCATTTGCAACATATTTGTCCGTTTATAAAGCACGAAGTTTTTGAAATTCTCACTATTAAAGAAATAATTCAATTTCTGCTCGTAACGATAAACCGACCACACTTCGTCCATTTGTATATAATTGTTGTCGAAAAACAACGAGCGAACCATTCTTTCGGATTCCAAGTCGAATAAATTTGAAGTCACCGAAGATAGCATAGATTTTATACGATACGGGCTCGTTTCCAGAAGTAATTTTCTGACTACAAAGAAATAAAAGTGTGCGTTAAAAAGATAACCGCATTTGAGTTGGTCGAATTTCCGAATTATCGCTTGCCTCAGCTGTCCATTCGATATGCCAGCCAAACAAGTAGACCGCCCAAAATCATCGTATACGTATCCGGTACTTAACGACCGTACTTGGTGCCATTGTGTCATTAGTTTTGCGCGTTTTTCACTTTGTTCACTGCTAATAATTAACGACCTCACTTGGGGTAGTAGGAAAATTAAACAAGCAAAAAGACATTTTGTGGAAAACATTTTTACCATTGTCACATTCATTGAATAATCGTTTTAATAGCAACGGACTATTATTGATCATATACTTATTCATACTGACAACGAGAAAAAAATATACTCCAGTAATGTCTTACAGAACATATTTTATGTTTCGCTTAATGAAAAACAACACTATTATAAACGACTATCTTGTTTTTACAACGTCAATATAGTGTTTACTGTTTCTCTTAAAAACTCGATGATAACGTTTTATTTGCAATTTTCGTAAAAGCAAATGTTTTTGGCTTTGTACGCCGAATATCGTGTCTTATTTACTGTTGCTAACGCTGAATCCTAAAAAGTACCATACTTTATTTATTTAGTAAAAACAACACATACCATAGTTTACAAACAAACGCAAACCCAATCAGACCGATGGCGGATATGCCCTGCTTGTTACTAGATGGGTTTTTAGTATAAAATATATACAAGTAAATCATTGTCAACTTTAAAACTTAGAAAAATATTTTTTAAAACGGTTTAAAACATAATTGTCATATTGAAAATATTTATTTATTATAATATTTATTGTATTATGATTTCATATAGTTTTTCAACACACTGTTGTGTGCTAAATTCTACACTTGTAAAACTGTTGATGTGGTTGTGTTTTGGTTTAAAGAAATATTTTTTTATGAGCTATTACTCATTTATTTTTCACATCGAGTTATTAGCATTTCGTAAAATAAGCTGGAGGAAAAGCTATAAGACTATCAAATATAAATTATTGTTTTTTTCATTTTAGACAAGTAAAATAGTATAACTAGGCCGAAAATAAAGTTGTTGTTTTAGATGCATTTCTTATTTAGAGCATTGGTGTATGACTAACAGGTAACTGTTTGAACATGCATTCAAAACATCACAACAAAATATGTTTTCTTATCTTTGCAATAAATAACACAACTCAAATCTAGTTTTCAATACCTTTCCGTAAAAGAACGCAAATATACAATAATTATTTAGAAAAGTAATAACAATGATAATACCAAATAATAATTTCAAAAGGTTTTAAATGAATATAAAAATAAAATAATAAAATTGTTCATGGCCAGGTGTAGAAATGTGTAGGTGCTTTAAGACCAATTGCAGCAATATGGATAAAAATAAAATACATTTTTATGAAAAAGAAAATTAAAGAAAATTTTTCTGTGGCTTATTCGAAGCCGTTCAGACCCATCGCCGCTTCCACAATGCCTCTCCACACCTCTCTATCCAACGCTAATCTTTCTCCATCTCTGATTCCTAAGATCTTCAGATCTTCTCTGACTCGGTCGCTCCACCGCGGTCTTGGCCGTCCTCTTGGTTTTGTTCGGTCTGGTTTCCACATTGTGACCTTGTTTACTATCCTATCCTCCGCTCTCCACACATGTCCTGCCCAGCTAAGTCTTCGACTTTTTAGAACACCTATCATATCGGTTTCGTTGAACAACTCCCTTAGTTCTGCGTTCGTCCTTCGTTCGTATTCGTGGTTTTCAGTACTCCTGTTAGGGCCGAAGATCCTCCTCAATATTTTCCTCTCAAGTGTCATTAGTTTCTTCTTGTCTGCCTTCGTTGATGCCTACGCCCCACACGCATATAATACAATAGGCCTGACCAGAGCCTGATAGTAGTTTTGACTTGAACAGTGGCACCAGTGAGAAATAGCACTTATTCCCTGCTATTATTCGTCGATTGATGTCGCCTTCCGTGATACAATCAGGTACTTAGTTTTGTCTTCATTGAGGCTTAGCCCAATACTTTTTCCTTCCTCTATTAGTTTATTTGCTGTATTTATTACTTGATCTTCTGTTTCGCCCATTATTATTACATCATCTGCGTACGCTGCCATCACCATATTTTATGTTCTCCAATTTTCAGATCTATGGAGTCTTTTTGCACTTTCCTTACTACTAATTCCAGAGCAATGTTTAAAAGAATTGGGAATAATGCGTCCCCTTGTCTCAATCCAGTTTCTACTGGAATATCTTCTGACATTACAGAGTTGAAAGCATACCTTTACTAATCTCACAAGTTTTGCTGGTATTCCGAGTCGTAGGCTTGCTTTAAGTCCACAAACAGTAAGTATATATCTGTTTTCCATGACCTTGGTTGAACCACGCTTGATAATCTCCTATTATGTCTTTAGCGTATGGTTTCCCCCTATTGAGTAACACATTCTATAGAACTTTGTAGAATGTATTAAGAAGTGAGATTCCCCTATAGTTCCGGCAGTCCATATAATCTCCCTTTTTATGTATCGGACACAATAGCGACATGTTCCATGCAGATGGTATCGTCTCCTCTTTCCATATTATTTTAAATTACAACATAATAATATAACACACAAATTAGTAGTGCTGTTATTCAGTGCTTCACATTTATTTACCTAAATCAAAACTTTAATTTAATAAATAATTAAATGTAATAATTTTCTTTTAAGTAAATATGTTTTAAACATAAAATATGTAAGTATTGCCATTTGCCTATTTGTTTCAAAACTAATTGTTTACATCAATATGAAAATAAATAAATTGGTATTTACAAATATTTATATTTTAATTGTTTTGATACTATTTACTAAGTATTTAGGTAATCTACTATTAATTTTTAAATAAAATTAAGCATTCGTTTAAGCACAGAAATAATTTAAATAAAAAGTATTTTGAATTCCATTTAAATAAAAACAAAACTGGATTTTTTTTAGTTTTAATTAGATTACTTATATTTTAAAAGTTAAAATAATAAAACCAAACATATATTTTTTTTAAACATCAAACAGTTTATTATATACATACATAAATATTGTAAAATTATATAAAAATATTTGTCTTATTCCGTTTAAACTATTCATATTTTTAATTGTGGTTTATTTAAAAAAAACAAGTAACTTTAAAAGGTTTAAATATTCATTTATTTAATATATATTATAAATATAACCATTAGTTGCTTACCATTTTTTTTATATTTATTGAATGTTTATATCAGAACTTTAACAATCAACATAACATGAGTAAAATTCTTACTGTTTACTTTATCAATGTGTATAAAATAAAATCATAAAAGGGACAAAAATTATAATTTGAAAAAATTCTGAATCAGAACCAAATATTAAATTTTCACCTGTTATAGCTACAGAGATGTTTAAAGTTGTAGGTATCCTAATTATAGTAACAATTGCCCCATTATTGTGTTATACCTGAAAAAGGAACTGCCAATTTTTAAACGCTATACACAGCACGTTACGTACTCAAGAGTTCTTAAGAATCCTTTTACTGACAATTATTTATGTTATTTAAATTTTAAAAGTTGGATGCCAAGTTTTATAAAAAGTTAATCATTTTAATGGTTTATTACAATTTAATGGACCAACCACTGGCAACTAAATTGTGTTTAAATGCCACTAAATATATATTAGTCCAATTAACCTTTACTGAACGTTTATGCAAGTCGCAGCCCGCCATAAATGTGTTATATGTCATCAACGATACATTTCCAAACAACCATAATTGCAAAAGTTTTGCTTACTATACTAAAGTATAAAATACAACAACATCCATGACTATTTTGAAATAAAAAATAAATAACGTGCGCTGCTCTCAGACTCACGACGGTGGCAAACCTCGATTAGATTATTTTCTTTTTCATATTGTGTGAAAATAGTGTATTATTTTCTTTTCAAATATATAATATAACTTTATATTATGCCACCTTTACTTCAAATCCTATCATAGTTATTTTTTGTCTCTTCTATTCTATACATATTCCACACTACATTCGCGTGTTAATTACACAAGCTAACGATTTTTTTTTTTATTAAGTTGTCCCGCTGTAGGACATATCTGGTTATCTTTTTTTTCAAAAACGACATCAGTTTATTCGATAATCTGTCACAATATTCAGTGCAATATGTCATAACACACAATTAACTTGTACTGCCCCTATTGCTTTATGAGAGGTTATACTTTAAAAAAAAAACCAATAGTTTTATATTTTGGAAAAATATTATATTCTCATATATCTGAAGTATTGAAATTTTAATTACATTTTTAAGCATTTTCCAATAAAGGTTTAGATATTCTATACATTTTATTATTATTATTTTAAATTCTGATAATTTTTTTTTATTTAACCTCTATTATTTAGAATTGATTGCGTTAAATGCCATAACCCGGTAAAATGTTTTCAATTCTTTAAGAGTCGTCAATGTCATTGCATTTTTTTTTGATTCAGCGCATCTTTGGAATGTCAAGATAGAGTGATAACTTTTGCAAAAGAATTTAAAAATGTCACCATATAGTTTCTTACCTATACCAGCTGTTTCTAAAAAAAAAAATTAGAATTAGAATTTAAACATTATAACTCGATGAAAGAATTTATTTTTATGGAAATTTATTGTTTTTACAAAGATATATTTTTATTTATCTAAATTTGTGTCAGGGCTTAACGGTAGAAAATTTATTTTTCCATTTTCAGGGAATTTTGGGTCCCAATTTTTAGTATATATTACAAATTATGTATATTATGTTATATTATTTTTTTTGTCACTTTTTACATCTTCTGGTAGTTAATTGTTAAGGCGCATACACTGTTCGATAACACCGAAAGATTAATAATTTGTATTGTTAAAAAAAAGTCAAAGGATACAAGCTTGGGTATTTTCATTTAAATAATTTTGAATGAAAATACCTCCTTTAAACCGTTTGCTTTACAGTTCAACATCAAAGATAAAAAAAAATACAATGATGTTAATGTTTACCTAAGTTTTCCTTTTTACTTGGATTCGCCACGAAGTAATCATCAATGACCTTAAGGTTATTGAAAGAGTTACCACCCAAATAAAAGGTTAACAGTGTCACTGTTAAAATATGATCAGGTGTGGGGTCTATGCCATTGTTCGTCCATTTTAAGCAATGATCGAACGATTCTTGTATAACCTGAACATTTTTTATGAATATAAAGTTAAATTCCATAAGCAATTCTATTATAAAATTTAAATTCACATAAATATTAAATATACGTATAATTTATGTGCTAGTTAACAAGCAATAAAACTAAAATGTTTTTAATAATCTAATATACATAAAACTATAATTCTTTTTTATGTATTTTATTTTTGTTTAGAAAAAAAAGTAATATTTTAATATTTGTATTTTTTTACTGAAAATAAAATGATATATTTATTACTTTAAAAAAAGTTAAATCTAACATAATATGGTTGTTATTTTTTTTTTTAATTAATTTTTAAAATATTTGAATTGTAATAGGGGATATACGGATATATGTCGCATTATTACAAGATTGAATGTTATATTACCCAAATTAAAAAAATTGAACATATTTTATTGGTTTTATTGTTAACACGAATATATTTGAGCTGTTGAAAAAAATTGGTTATGAGCTTTAATGTTAGTAACTAAATATATATATACACAAATAATTTATCTAGACATTATTTTATTTTTTTCTATATAACGTAGGTACTTTAGTTCAAACACTTAAGCGATGCTTATACAAAATTGTTCCAAATTGACTAACATTTTTTAAAATTTTATTTAGTTTTAGAATACATTTAGGTTACGTTCGGATATATTATTACATATTAAATAAAAGCGTGGCTAAAAAAAGTATTTAGTAAAAAAATTTTAAAATGAATGAATTTAACTCAGATGATTTAATTAGGATTCTAACTTAAATCTAATATAACAATATCGAAAAAATACATTTTTTAACCAACGACAGTAAACAGTGTTTTTGGTTATTAATATTTATTTATTTAAATAAATTGTAATTTCTTAAGCAAAAAAATTACCCTTACATGTTTCAGAAAAATATTCACCAACTATTTTAAAACTATTAGGTTTTTCTCAACAAAAACCTAATAGTTTTTATATAATAGTATAAATTACCTCTTCGTCAGTTTTCGGCGAAGGTTCAGGTTGTTCCGTTATAGTACAGCTAGCAGCTACGATAAAATATATTAACACAATAGACAACTTGAAAATCATTGCGTTATTCTTTGAATTAAAAGCTGAAGTTAAACTTTGAGACAGAACGAATGAACGAATGTTTACCGCTTTTGAATACCTGTTTTATAGAGCATTGGAAAAAAACTACAGTTAAACGAGTACATCAGTACAAAATATTTGCACAAGTATATACAAAAGTACACAAGTATATTTGTTGTATGTAAAACCGTACAAACATATCGATGTAGTGTTTTTTTTTTTTTGAGTTTACAGAAAACGGTTAGAAATTTTTGTATTGCGACGCCGTACATATATTTAATAAACTTTCCATGCCATCAAATAACTAGACTATGAGTATTGGTTTGAACATATATATATATATATATATATATATATATATATATATATATAAATATATATAAATGAATTCCTCTCTGTTTGTCTGTCCTTTATGCATTAGTACACCATTAATCCGATCGCCATGAAACTTTGGAAAGTTGTTGAGTACACTCCCGCGAAGATAACTGGCATAGAACTTTTCGAAAAATCCACCCCTAAAGATGGCCTCAAACACGAGATTTGTACTTTAAATACGAAATGTAAATAAATTAAATGTTTGTTACCATGGTAACCCAAAGTGTATTTAAGAAGGTATTCAAAAGGTTTGAATTTGATTCGTCTAATCTGACCGAAATCTAAATTGGGTACTCTATATAATTTTTTTTTATCACGCAGTAAAATAATATAGTTTTGTAATATTCCTAATAAGACAACGTTAAAAATCACGTGAAATGTCACATTATGCAGTTGTAAATTTTAAAAGAAGTTTGCTTTTTTATTAACTTTAAACACAATGGTCTATTTTCTTATCGATCAGACCAAATTTTATATATTCTATTTTATTGGTTATTTAACAAAAGAGTGGTGGAATATAACAACTATTTGCTGACAAGTTTAGTCCACCTACACTAAAAACGGGACTCAAATTTTGTCCAAACTCTAAATAAAGACCCTCAACAAAAAATTGTAAATTATTTTTTACATATTTACATAATTTTATTTATTAATTAACAACTCCTTTAAATGTCTTATATTATTAATTCACATACTATTTTTCTAGTTTCGTTTATTTTTTATTTTGGTACAGTTCAAGCAGTACTAATAGGTATCATTTAACAGGGTTGCTACACTTTTTCAGTCCAAAAATTCCCTGACTTTCCCAGAGACAAAAATCATATTTTTCTATACCTAAAATTTTGTTATACTCATAATCTTAAAATACTTTTTTAAGAGCTTTTTTAATTCTAAATTTCACTACTATCTTCATGCTTATGTAATCCAAATCGAAGTAAATAATTATTGCACTATAAGTCTAAAATGTTGACAGCTTATTGCTCATTATTTTTTTTAATTTCTTCTTTCTTTTAATTTTGGTTTTGGGGTTTTATTATAAAAATCGTATTTCCAAGCCAGTATTTTTGTAAAATTATCTTAATTTGCAATATGTACTATAAACAGATATTTTAACGACGCGTAGGACTTGAATTTAAAATCTATTAATTTGCAGTAAGAACAAAATTGATTTTTCTTTTCTGCTGTTGTTGTTGTAATTTTTCTTATTTGTACAAATGTTTCGAATACGAAAAAAAAAAATATATCTTTTCTTCCATAAGTAGAACTACTATTCGTTTTTGGGAAAATTATGCATGTTGTTGTTTTCAAGGTCTGAACCAATTTTTTAAAACTATTGCCATTTTGTAAAAAAAGTACTAGATGATTTTTAATAACTAATAAAAATATCTGCTTAACTATTGTTAAACTATTTTTTATCTACCAAATAAGAATAAAAGTCAACGGATATATATTTTAAATAAGTCACAATAATTATGAAAATAACATGAATATTGCATATACACAAATATATATATATATTATATATATATATATATACATATATATACATATTATACAGCATAGATCCTAACCTCTTGAGTATTTCCATACCCGCCTAACTTAATGTAAAAACATTAATACATTTATATTTTTTCAAAAGAGAAAAAAACACTTTTGTCTTAAAAAAAAAAAGTTAAGTTGTCAGATCAGATTAACTAGTTAATTCGTAAAGGAGAATAATTTTTAAAAAGAAATTTACCAAATCATATGTTTAGTTATTTAATCTTAGTATGAAAAACATTTTAAATGTTTAAGAAATGTCCTATTAATAAAATTCCTATAACACAAAATTGTACATCTTTTAAAATTTGTCCCAAATAGTTGATCAAATTTTTAGCACATTAAATAGTATCCAAAATCTTGTTTTTTTTTCTTATCTGTTATGGTTATAGTAGCTTCAGTTCTTTTAGCACAGTCAATAGTATCCTGAACATAGTTTTCGATATTTTTTGTATGTATTATGAATTTAGTAGCGCCAGTTCTATCTTTACCGTTGATTTCAGAGACTTGAGCTTAGAAAATTTTAAACCAAATTTTTCTAAGTCTTAAAAACTATTAGTTTTAAACTTTGTAGAGACAAAACACATTTAACTAGGTCGATTTCAAAGACGTTGTTTTGTTTTTTTGTGTATATACTTTAGTAGGTCGATGGTGTTTGCCTAACAAGTCACTATATGAACAAGCATGCAAAATAACACATCAAAATATAGTTTCTTCTAATTTCAATAAAATATAACATGACCTAAAACGTGTTTTCAAGACGTTTCCGTGTAGGAAAGTAAATGAACAATTTTTTAGAAAAGTAATAACAATGATAAAACCGTATAATATTTTCAAAAGATTTTAAATGAATATAAATAATAAAATAGTAATATTAATAATGGCCTGATGTGGTAACTTGTAGGTTATTTGAGACCAATAATTGCAGTTTTATGGATCAAAATAAAATATTTACAAAAAAAATACTTTTTATATATTTCTCCAAGACACACTATATTTGTCTAAGACTTTTTATCGACCAGCATTATTTATTAATTATACAGTTATTTGTTGTTTTTTTATTATTTTATATTATTTGTATATAAGATAAGTAAACTTTTGGAATAATGTCATACTTTGTTTTCTAACATGTTATTATATTTTATAAGTTACTCAGGTTATCTATTTCCCTACATAAATCGATTAGGATCTCGTTGGCCTTTGTCCTCACTCTTGCTAACATTTTTAATATTGATGACCATTGTAGCTGATAACACTGCTACTGATCCAGATCCACTAGTCTGCAGTCAACTTATACAAACTCATTTTAACATACTATCGCAGTAGTGTACTACAGGGAAAAAAAATAAATGATATCTACCTACACGACTGTCCAGAAATAACTATTAACAACACTACAATTCCCCATACAAGGAAAGCTTACCTTAGCTTATTTACAGACAGGATACTCACTTGGGCTCCTTATTACGGATTCGAACCTCCAGCTTACCACAATATCTACTTCAACTTGTATTCTAGTTTCTTTGTACATTTCTCTAATACAAGAACAATATATACAGCTGATATACAGTGAATAAATAAAAAATAACTAACAGGTATTCGACCAGTAATTAGTTTTAATCAATTTTATTGATACAGCAATATGAATACATAATTATGATTAAATAAATTAAAAACTTCAAATCTAGTATAAAACAATATTTCTGTAAATAAAAAACGTTATAATTTCTTTTCGTAATTAAAAAGAAATGATTTTAAAAATACTCTGACCAATTATATATTTAATTCGACAACACTTGATCATACAACTTAAAATAAGTTTCGGTATTATATTTTTCTTTATTATACCACAACTTGATTTCTGAACATTGTGTTTGTAATTTTCAATCATAATTTTTTTATTCGAAATTCATCTGGCTATTTGGTCCAAAACTTTAAAAAACCGACCGCGTGCAATGTAATTAATAATAAAATTAACACATTTAAATGAGCTGCTATCATCCTATTTATGAACTACTCCACTGTTTATCATATTTATATAATTATGCTACATTTCAATATTGACAAATCTTAAATTTTATAATATCTTCAGCTCAGTTTATTGAAATAAGTATAAAATATATGTTTAAAATTTTAATTATTGCATTCAGCTTGACGTATACTAATAAGCATATATTTTATGTCTTATACTTAAGCCAAAAGTTATGGATATTTGACTGTAGAATAAGACATAACATGATCCCAAATAATTGCTCTAATTTATAAAGTTAGGATTACTTATTACCAGGTCCTTTATCGCGTCGGAAACTTTTTAAAAATTAATGAAATGATGTATGGAAGTAGAGTTTTGATATTTGTTGTCATTGGAATGGTTATCGCGTTTATAGAATAATTATTACACTGACTGAATGTATATTTAAATAGAAAAGATTCAAAAATATTTAGTGTTCTTTTTTACTATTCCTATTTAGTATTTCGCACTAGAATATTCAGCATAAATAATCTTAGCAAAAATAAAAGGTTTTTTCATAAAAAAGCAGAAAAACGAAATTATAGAATAGTATACATTTTATAAGTTCTTTATCAAAAATCACTCATATCAAAGTTTTCTGTTTCTCTAGTAGCTCTTATAAATAACATTGGCTTAACGGTTTAATTCAAATTTTTGCAGAAATATTCGTTGATGTGTAACAATTATATTGTATCACATAATTGAAAAATAAGTGTAAGTTTGGTTATTTATGGTTTTAAATTTTACGCAAACAATTTTAGTTTAAAAATTTTAGTGGTCATAAAAAAAGTTGGTAAAAGTATATTATTTAAAAATTTTAGGATAGTTGAAATTATAGTATGCTTAATGAATTAAAAAAATATAATAACTCTGAGACCGATTGATCTCCTGTTTTTTTTGTATTATGTGGAAATACTTACTTTATGCATTTTTTATGTGATAACAATAACGGAGTACGACGGCGTTCTGGTTAGGCAAATCTGATACACGACCTTGCTACTATGGTATATGCTGTTTTTTAGCCTAACTCGAATACACCAATTGTTTTTTTGGAAAAACAACTGATAATTGATTTTAAAAAAATTAATAATTTTATCAATGACA